CCCACGGACTGCCCAGGCTGTGCCACACACTGCACCTGAAAGCCAAACCTCACAAGCTTTCTGTCCTGGCAAACAGGGCTGCTGTCCCACTTGGTCAGCCCCGCCCCGACATTGCCGGTCTCCCGATCTGTGGCAATGGATTTGCCATATGGATGATGGAAGAAGTCCTGGCAGAGATGGACTAGTGAAGAAAATGAAAACAGTTCAAATGTTATCGAAACCGACGTTTTTAAGGTGGTTTAAACAGGTTTTAAAACGGCTTTTACCTTTTTGCAGAGTCATTGATCTTCTTCCCGACACCCCCTGTGCTCTCTCACAAGGTGTCCAGGGAAGGTGTCCTGAGGTGTTTCCCATTGGCCTTTGTTAACTCCTTCCTTTTGGCTGTTGACCCTTCACCTGATTGGTTTTTTCTATGTGACCCTGAACTTGTCATTGGTCCCCTTTTGACTCTCCTGAAAGCCTTATAAACCCCCACCCCCTCTCCCTCCCAGAGCGGGCGATCCCATCCCGCCCTTCCCGAACCCAGACCCTCCTCAACCCACCAGCAGCACCGCTCCAGGCACCACCCCAGTGACAGAAAACTTTATTCCACCGCCCCTGACACGGAATAGCTGCCACAGGCACTCATTGGGGCAAAATTGTGCCGACGAAAATCCAGCTGTTTGTGCAGCCCCGGCCCCAGCCCCTCCCGCCTGGCAGCTCTTAGCAGGAGATCACCAACTGCAGTTTCCTCAGGCAGTTTCACAGCCGCAGCCCCCAGCCGCCACCACCCCATGGTCCAACAAAGGAAGCGGGGAATTCCCGACTTCCAACGACTCCGGACCGACGGCGAGAGCTTCCACCTTCCCTAGGGATGCCGAGCGGGACAGGATGACGCCATCGGGACCACTTCCCTGTCTGTGCCCGAGACCGGAGACGGGACCACCTCTGCCCTGCAGTTCCAAGTGTCCCCCGCTTCTTGCTCCATCCTGCCGCGACATGCAAGGAAACCCACAGCTTCAGAACACCTTCACGACCGAGCAGCACAGACTCAGCCAGTTAACGGACAGCATTCCCTCCATCTCTCACAGTGTGCAGCCAGCTGTGACTGACTCAGCAGCACCAGACTCATTAAACAGTTTTCCAGCTACAAACCAGACACAATCCTTAACAACATTTAACAGATTTTCTCCCAATAATCCATTTTCAAAGATGTCAAATAATTTTAACAATTCTGTTTCTCCTTCTAACCCTTTTCTTTCTTGCACAGGAACCAACCATACCAATAATTGTAATGCTATAAATAATATTGCTAGTAATGTTAATGGTTTAAATTTCTTGCAGGCGTATCCATTGTTTTATAATCCAGGTGCACCCCCAGTAGGGGACCCCTTAGCCATACCCCTTCTCAAGGATGCAAAAAAGGCAGTAACAACTTATGGTTTGAATTCAGCACGTGCAATGGGAATTCTGTCATCTTTAGTCTCAGCCTTTGTACTAACTCCAAATGATTTAAAAGATATAATGAGATCCTTGCTAAATAAGGTACAAATATCATTGGTTTTAGATGAATGGAAAGCTTTAATTAGAAAATATGCTCATGAAACTAGTTCCACTACACATAGACCTGTAGACACTACGATGCAAATGCTTTTTGGCGAGGGTCCTTATTCTGCAAATACAGATCAGGCCAAAATTCCAAAACAAGACTTAATTGTTACCAGAAATATGGCATTACAGGCACTACAATCAGTAGCTGATGCCTCTGAAACAACTCCACCTTTCCATAATGTAATTCAAAAGCCCAATGAATCTTTTATTGACTTTGCAGAACGATTAAAAGAATCTATAGAAAAACAAATAAAGGTGAAAGAAGCACAAGATGCCCTATTCCTGAAGCTAGCTATCTCCAATTCAAATGCACAGTGTCAACAGATACTCAGGAACCTTCGTGACCCTACCCCCATGGATATGGTAAAGGCTTGTAAAGATATTAGCCCTAATGATAAATTAGCAAATAGCCTAGTCCAAGCTCAGGTGTCAATGTCAAACCAATTAGTTGAAGCTAATACACAATTAGGCAACCAAATTGCAGAAGCAACTCAGCAGATGGCAGAAAAAATGACCCAAGTTTTAGCAGCAGCTTTAGACCACTCCAAAGTGATATGCCATAATTGCAAACGCCCAGGTCATATGAAAGCTAACTGCCCACATTTTAAAAACCCCAAGTCACAAAAAACCACTCGTCCAGGCCTTTGCCCCAGATGTAAAAGAGGGGTACATTGGGCTGTAGAATGTCCATCTCTATTTGACAGAGATGGAAACCCACTCTCACCCAGGCCTTCTCGCACTCTCTGCAGGGCCAAGGGATAGTAGAGAAAACTCATAAATCTTTAAAAGATATGCTTAAAAC